GAATTTAGTTTTGACAAAGTTTATTCTGAAATGATAATATTGACTTAAAAATGCGATGAAAAAATGTAATCTATTAATGGGCTTTTCTGTGTTAAAGACAACCCTGCATGGATGTGTGTTTACATGCTTTGCTTTTAATCAGTTATTATTAAATTCTCTCTTCCACAGACTTCCACACACTTCCCACTTTTGTCCTCTCTCCCTCCCCTCACCCTCATAGATGTCTGTCTCTCCCTGAATTTGGTTCTGTTTGAGGTTTTTCTCTTCCACTTTTTGCCCAGTACTTGCTCATAGGAGTTTATCTGATTGTGGTGGTTTTCTCTGTGCAACTGTAGGATCTTTACAATTTAATAATCCAGATGTTGGTACTTGGTACCCCAGGTGATGTTTATGCAACGTTTCATCAAGATTTGTTTACTTGTCTAAAACAGGCTGTTCATGCTATTAGGAAAAGAAAAAAACCCTCAAATGTTGCTGATTTAAAATAGTTCAACAAAGAAGATTGAGCCAAAATTTCTCCACAGAAATTTGAAAGATTGCCATTCAGTTTTAGATCTTCATGCAAAGATAAATGTATTCCCACAGAGGAGTAATTTACTTGTAAAGGCTAAAAAGAACATTACGAAAACTGAAGTGTGTCAGTACTGCCCATCTTGTCCACACTGCTGAATACATGCATATGCATATTTTCCATTAAATTTGTTTTACTTCTCACAGTTGGGCTTCATTTGGAATTCCCTTTGGAAGTACGAGTGCTTTAGAAAGATTGGAAAGTGAGAAGTGTGCATGGATCACATCACGGTCTTCCTCACCTCTCAGTCAAAGGTCCTGATGAACTCTGTTGCTCTGTCCATGGTGCTGATGTAAGCTATATAAGTATATGACAACACATGTTCAGTGGATTTTTAACAAAACACCCACATTTCTGTTTTGTACCCGAGATCCAAGCAGCTTTAATCTGAAAAAACAAACACAAACAAACCACTAAAAGCTGTTGCTAAGGTAACTAGAATGTTACCACTGCTTAACATTTACGTCGTACCTCGTGACTTCCCTAGAACAGCCGTAAAACAATTGTCGCGTTGATGCTCGAATTCTTTCATATTTATCCCTGTAAAGTAAGGAGACCGTAATCCTTTATTCGATTTATTTAATTAAACCCTTTATTAATATTCTGGCGCGTGCGGCTCCCGTTACAAGTTTGAAAGACACGTGCAGATGAGAGGCGTCATCAGCTCCTGTGAGACAAATTTGACAAACATCTGTGACAAAACTGAACGATAAAGTAATCAATTGGAGTTGTAAAAACACTTTTTTTTTTTTTACTGTTCTTTGAGGTAAATCCCAACATTTATGATTTTCTGCAGCCTGTAGCTGCCATTCATAAGGATTATTTCTGCAGAAAAAGAATCACATGACGGATTAAATGCCCCCTTTCATTTGCGTGAGCACAAAGCTTGACGCAGAAATTAACTACCGATGTGATAGCCATCTCTGTCATGGCCATCTCTGACGGAGGTTTTAGAAACCCCTAATGGAAAAAAGCCAGTCTGTGCTGATCTTCCTATATATGCAAAAACTTTATTCTGAGTATGTTTCACAGTAAGAGTAAACAGTTGACTTTTCATAAGAAGTTCATGGTCTATAGACACGTTTGTGTTTATTTGTGTGTAAATGAATAAAAGTGTGCAAATACATAAAGTGTTAAATACCGTTTTCACCGCTCCATTTTGACGGAAAGGAGTTCGGTAAGGAGATCCCACACTAAATCAGCAATGAAAGTGTGAAAGTGCGCATATGCTCCACATCCAGCCACAAGCAGCTTGAGCTTTTGTTCTGTTTTATATCATCTACACGGGATTTCATTTTATTTCACATTTTAGTCTGAATTATTAAAATGCGATGTTTGATTTCTTGTATAATGATTTTCAAAAGAAACTTTGATATGCGTAAAATCCAAGGTTTTACGCGCGACTTCTCACATCGCCATGTTTGGTTACATGATCACAACAAAATAACAGCTTGTTTTGGACCCGTGTGACGACCTCTCACGTGTTTCGCGTGGGAACCAGTAAGTCACTTCCCCTCCGAGCACATTTGTTAAGTGAGATATCAGGTTTAACAAGTAATAAAGCGACGATTGAGCCTGCTGCTCCACGGCCGCACGACGAGAGAGAAAAGCTGAAGCACACGCTCCCACTTAAGCAACATTTGTCTGCACGCTGCCGTGTGTTTAGAGGGACAAACGCAGGTCTACTAGACTTCGTTTATTTATTATGACGGTGTTTGGAAAACGCGGTAACATTTGCTTTAAAAATGTCGAAATCTTTAAAGACTTTAAGCTCAACTTTGATATATAAGCAGATCCTTCCGCAACCGTGAGAAAAGCACGCTGATTTGACTAAAATTACATTTACTACGCCGTGAAACATTGCTTCTTCACACAGAATTCGTCGCAAATAAATAAATACAGTCTAAATAAATGAATACAAATAAATAAATCCAAATTTGATGAAAACATATATTTTAAATGAGAAATAGTGGACTATTTCTGTGAGGAACACAAAACTCCGATTCTATTAAGAATAAAAGCCTGAAAGCACCCATTCTTTTCTACTTTGTGATTCTGCGGGTATTACTCTTTAATTTCTGTGGGGTTGTCATGATCCAAGTAGCCAGGAACACACAGGCACAAATGTAATCTTCAAAAAAATGGGTTTTATTGTACCCCCAAAAATGACAAGATGATTACAAAAATTCAAAATAACAAAAATAAAGTTTTTAAGAACCAAGTGGGCCCATAAAAGAGGTTAACTTAACAGAACGCTACTCAAAAGTCACTTAACAAAAACATAACTCAACAAACTGACCTGCCCAAATGAGAAACAGCTCCAGTTATATAGCAAATGAATAAACCATTATATACACCAAAGGTGAAAACTAAAGAGATAACATTCCCCCTGCATGATCACAATAGATGGTCCAGTCCACTTTATTGGCTTCTGCATTTAAACCAGCTCCACCCTCAGCCTCCTTTTTCAGCCAAACCAGGAAGGACTGGAGCGGAGGTCAGGTAACTCAGAAAGAGCAGCAATATAATCAATATAACATATATAAAATAACAAACAATGCAAAGCAAAGTCTATGCCACCATTTGAGCTATAGCTTAGTGCTGTCATGTATTACAGGTAAACTCAAAATATCAAATTAGTTAACTTATGATCACAGAAGCTTTAGAGCATAACGTAAACATAAGACAAAAGACCAAATGAAAATTACCTAAGTATCTCAATTGTGTGGTTGCATGCAGCCATCACAGGGGTTAAATTATTTTTTGTGTGGTGCAGGATTGATCAAAATCGCTGTCTCCTCCATTATATACTTTTTTGTCAAACAAAATAACAATTACAGCGCTTATTTTACATATCAACAAAAAGTTATATACAGATATAAGTAGTTAAGAACAAAGCAGTCGTCGAACAAAGAACATTTAAAGAACAGTATAGGTCAGAGATACCATAAAACAGCATACAAGCAGTGTTGGGAAGGTTACTTTTAAAATGTATTCCATTACAGATTACAGAATACATGCCCCAAAATGTATTCTGTAACGTATTCCGTTACGTTACTCAATG